AATAATAATAATAATATATAGCACACACACACACAAGTTTTTTTCCTCAGACAACCAAAAGACAAATAAAATAATAATGTTGAATATATTTTTCTTCCTCTCCTGATTAATATCACGCTGCTGGATCTGAACCTTCTGCTTTCAACAAATCACACATTATTAGGGATCAGTGTTGTCAAAAGTGTACACAGAAAAGTGTAAAAAAAAGTCTGTGGAGTCTCTGTGAACATTTCAACACTCAGCTCCACCGTGACCTTGCTCCTCTAGAGTGTGTGTGTGTGTGTGTGTGTGTGTGTGTGTGTGTGTGTGTTACAGAGGAACAACCGGGACAAACTTCAAGTCCAAAGCTCTCAAGGGGAAAAGCTCTGACAAGCTGACTTAATGCAGAAACCGAACTGGGAGCTTTTTCTTCTCTCCAAGAGAGGAGATGAAAAAAAAGAGGAGAAAAAAGAAAAAGAAAAGCAGAAATGGAGGGGTGAGAGAAAGTGGTGTGAAACCATGAACTCACTGATGTTTCAAATAGATTTGACTCTGTTGTGCCACCAACTCCCTCCTACATGCAGACTTTATTTAAATTAGACAATAAGGGATGATATAAAGTAATACAATTAGTATTATGTTTGTCGGTCAGCTTCATCAGTAGGGTTTGGTCAGGTGTTTACTTTATCTTAGACAGGTAAGAACATATTTAACAGTCTGCTGATGAGAATTTCATCATCTCTTTGTTGGTTAAAAAAAGCTAATGGAACAACATTTTGTGTGCGTGTGCGTGTGTGTGTGTGCGTGTGTGTGTTGACTTGTGCACTATTGATCCTCAGGAACGAACACTGCTTTTATGGAAAGATGACACAATGAGTAAATATCGACTTATTATCCTTTAAACCTTTAAAAGCACCAAGGCCAAAAGGGGTAAAGAAGCTTTTTTTTCTTTTTTTTACTTTTTCTTTTTTTAGAACAGCAGCACAGGAAATTTGAGGTGAATGTATGCGTTTGTGATGATATATCAGAAGAAAGGTGACATGCAATACATCCTCTGGTTCTCAAACTGCGGTCCCAGGACCCCCACGGGTCCGTAAGAGGTATCTTGGGGGTCCTCAAAAAATTTCACTAAATTGTTAAATTGGGTTTTATTTTGAAAAATGCATTGAGAGCAATGAACTAATAAAACAAACAAACTAAACAAAAATATACTGTATACTCTCATGGAATTTAGGGGTTGAAATGATGGTTAATTATCTTTTAAAACAGCATGGTGTTTCTGAGGGGGTCCCTGGATTTTTTTTTTTGCCCTTGTAAGGGGTCCCCAGACCCAAAACGTTTGAGAACCGCAGGATGCTTTGCTCGTTCTCTGCTCCAACACACCTGATTTGAATGAATGGATTATTATCAGCTTCTGCACAACTTGGTGACTGAATCAGGTGTGTTGGAGCAGAGAATAAAGTGAAGCATGCAGGGCTGCGGACCTTGAAGAGCAGGATTTCCCACCCCTGCTCTCGTGCAACTTGCAGGGTGAAAATGTCAAGCAGCGTTACACAACAGCTATCATGTGCAGTGGTTTTCTCTCTTCTCCTTTCAGTGTTCTGATGTGGGCCAGGAGCTCAGCTTCACCTGGAACACACACAGTCAGCTTCTGCCGTCCTGCTGCAGAGACGGTGTCAGAGCGCTGTAAATCACAGCGGCCCATCCACGCATAAATCTGCTGCAGGAACAACACACCAACGCCCATTAGGAGGAGAAGGGGGAGGTCCGGAGCCGCCCACCCTCCCTCCCTACCGTTTCTATAAAACACAACGAGGGTTCACCTGTACCTGCCAGCTCGCCTTGACGAGGCCGAACTGTCATTAACCAAACAGGAAAGACAAACACATGTCAGAGGATGCAAACAATGAGCGTGAGTCACTGGAGAGAGGCATCAAAAGGATCCAGGGAGACTCGCTGGCGTTCACCGGGTCATCCGAGTGTCAGTTCAGGAGTTCAAGAATGTTTTCAGGAAGTCTTTTTGTTTCAGATTTAGTGCCAAAGTTCAATTAACCTCCTGACTCATGAGCGAGGACGACACCGAGCCAAACTTTAATTACAGCAGAAACTGAACTGGAGACGTCATGAAATATCGTCTCTGTCAGATGAAAAACACACAGTGACTCATCTTTTCACAGAGACGTGGGAAAACAGACACTTTAATCTGGTCTCTCCCTGGTTGTGCATTCGGGGTTTTTTTTATGAATAAAATGTATGTGACTGAACTGGAGAAATTGAACGCGGATTTAAAAAAAATTCAGGTATCAGCTCAAGAAATCAGCATTAAAGACAAACAGAGACAGAAATTTAAGAGTTAGTCTGATCCAAAGAGTAAAATCAAACCAGAAGGAAGCAGATTAAAAACACACACACAGCATGGAGAGGGTTCTATCTGCCAACTGGTGATCTTCTTGTCCCTGGGCGATCCTGCCACTTTAAGAAATGAAGCAATATCATTAATGGAGGCCTCAGAGGGCTGACATCTTG